TACATTAATTTTCATACAAATAAATAATTGCATAAATGAACATGATACGAAGTCAAAATTGGCAGTAAGGTTCTTACAACTGCGTAGGCACAATGGCGGAGCATAACTTTATCAAGAAAGTTGGCGGAGTTATCCAAAAACTAAAGGGCATGGGTGGGTGGCGGGTGTCATGAAGATTCAACTTAAAAAGACAAAGTGAGTTTAAGATGCGGATGGAATCATGATCAACTACTGGTTGTGCCGTTTGTGGTGCTAAATCTTCAAGTTCTGATACAATAGTGTTAGGAGTTAAATTGCAGACTCGAAACTCATTAAGGTATTTTAATAACAGATTCTATTAACACACTTTTATGGAATTCATTTAGTAAGAACAAATACAGATTCATATGTATGCCAGTTATATTTATTCATCACCGGCACTCAGAAGGAAATTTTGTAAACACATAGTAATCAGAACAATTTAACTTTTAATTAACTTAGGTATTTTAACTTATTCTACTGAACAGAAATTGTTATACTATACTTTGAAAAGGTTACATCTTTACGTCAGAAATAATTATGTTTAATAAAACTTTGTAAGAATGGATTCCATTGGACTGCTCTGAAATCTTGTCACAGGTAACGGTTCGATCGGGAGGTCCTGAGAAGACAGTGTCGGTATGTCGACAATGTCACAAGACGTGTCTGGCCAACAGCAACATAACACAGCAGCGGGCCACTACAGACAACAACAATGGACTCGGTAAGTTCCTTCAGAACCAATTCACAAACTGCACTTGGCCATTAACATTGAGTAAGCTTGCAATTAGAATTATTGAAATGTTAAACGTTTCTCCACAACCACAACGCATGTAAACGTCATGCATTACAATGGTAAAAATATTGCAAGTGAAATTCGCCTGACAACCATTTGTAGATACACTGCAATTTCATGGAACATTACCCTACACAAACATTGATCTTATACTGAGTTTGAAATCAAAAGTGATCATAAACCCCTATGCTATATTCACATCAAGTCAGCACCCATTTTTATCAAAACAGCAAAAAAAATTAAAAAAATGTGATTCAGGCTTCCAGACCAGTTTATGCATCTAGAGTAGATAAATAATTTCTGCAGATTGTATCATTTCATATAACAAATGTAAATCTGAAGTAAGTACTCGTCCATAATTATCAAAGAATTTATTCACGTTTGTCTGATTTAAATAGTTGTAAGACAGCTTCTGCTGAAATTATCCAAATCCTGTGTACGTTCAAAGCATTTTGTCATTCTCACACGTTTACGTTTACATGAAACAGCATTAAACCGCTTGTTTATTAGAGTGGCGTAAGCCTTGCAAAAAATGGATCGTTACCTACTTAGTAGGATTTGTGCAGAACTGGACTATCTTTATCGTATTATGAGAGGCGTCTATAGCACTTACAAAATCTTGAAAAGGTAAGACTACTGTACTCCCATCATTCTGCATGTGTTTTACATTCTACAGTCTGTAAATGCAGGGATGTAAACAGTTTAAACCATTAAATATGTTTGCAGTCACCATTAACATTCACCAATACAGCTGCTTACGTCTGATGATTATATTTTTTCAATATAATATAATATAGACGCACGCATTTCTCCCATTCATCCCATTCCTGTGGAACGAAGCCAGTTTTATATAAAAGAACATGACAAGTCTCAGCTATCAAACATCTGATGCTCGGAACACGTGATTTTCCAGGACTGGATGTGGATGATGATGATGACTATGATGACAACTGGGGTCCTCTCATCCTGATGGGCATGACGACAGCGCTCAATGCAACAGTGGGTCTTACCAAGTCCACAGTCGACCCTTTCTCTCCAACCGAGGTGCCAGTCATCTCCGTCCTACCCCCAACCCCCGACACCACACCAAGAAACTCTAACTTTGAGTGGGACAATGGAGATCTCACCAGTCTCCCTGTGGGACCAACTACTCCGTTGGACACCACATTACAGGTCAGCCCAATGCTGTTTCTTCTTACAGGCATGATCAGAAACAAATGGGTAGATCAGCATGGTCAGAGCCATCTTCGATGATTAATTTTCTGGTTCAGTATAGTCTTCAATAGAAGTCTCTGGTCTGGGTCTTGCGAGTGACCTCTTCCCTTCAGCGTTTCTCTGAATATCCCCTCTCTTCAGGTTTTCTGCTGAAGTTTTGCATACGTTTCTCCCTATGTTTTATCCATCTAATCCTCCTTGACTTGGTCATCTACCATCTACTAATAATTTATAAGGAGTACAAATTATGAACATGCCACACCTACCTAGGTTTCTGGGAACAAAACTGAACGACACAACATGTACAAATCTGACATGGTGCGTATTTCCTTCTTATCAGAGCCCACACAGCTTTGTCACTAGAGCAACTATGGACCTGCAACCAGGGTTCGATTCTCGGATGAAGATGGGATTTATCTGCTCACTCTGAAGCCCAGAACGGCTCAGAGTTCCATTCTGTTAATGGGTACAGA